CCTCCCTCCTCTTCAGTCTTCTGGTCACTTTAACATTCCAGCATCCTTGGACAGTCGTGGAGAAGGGATCTTTTTTTTTTTACGATGATTTCTTTTTTTTAATTTTGTTTGCTGTAATGTGTGTGTGTGCGTGCGCTTGAGTGTGTGCGTGTGTGTATGTGTGTGCGTGTGCGTGCGTTTGTGCGCGCTTGCGTGTGTGTGTGTGTTGTTGTTGGGGGGGTGGGGTAGGGTTTATTGTTGTTGTGGTTTTTTACTTTTTTGTTTTGTTAATTTGTTTGGGGATTTTTGGTTCTTGTTGTTTTGGTTATTGCTGTGCATGGGAGTGTGTGTGTGTGTGTGTGTGTGGGGGTGGTGGTGTTGGTGGTGCTATTTACTGTCGCACTAGAACAGTTATTACAATTCTAAAAAGAAAAGCTGAGTTCGATCCTAACCAATTCAACATTGGCCAAATAATTATCTCGTCTCGAAACTCTGTTCATGTTCTATATAAATAAAACAAAAGCAAATATTAAATGTCAGTCTCTGTAGGGGGATGGTCAGTGCTGGACCTTTTGTCTGACCTCTGAGTACAACAAAAAAGACCCTCCCACTTTAATGTTTTCTCAAATCTAGAATGACCACTTCAGGCCAACTGCTGAATGCCAAACAATGCGTCCCCCCCCCTGGTTATAATTGCTGTCAATTACTGATATCTTTGAAGATCTTTTATCACCAGCCCCCATGCCTGTCGGACATAGCTGTGCGTTGTTTATAATCAGCTCGGGTAACCATTGATCTGGCCATACATCAAAGCTCGCGTTGTTTGCTGCTGTAGTAGATTTCATTACAATTTGAATAGATAATGGACTTTATTTTTCAACAGTTTTGATCAAGCATTGGCGAAACATTCCACTGTGCCCTTTGTGGCACTTGCAGGGGTTGAGTGACGTCATTGTGGAGGTTGTGTGGTTGTGTGGCTCTCGCCCATCCACTGAATCCCTCCGTCCAAAATCGGATAGGTTTTCGGTAGCTCGAGGAAGACTTCGTCATGGTGTGATTCGGTCGAGATCCTCAGGCACAAGTCCTGGGTATTATATGTGTGTCACCACATTTAGGCAGATCAGGTCCCCTGTGTTATGTGTGTGTCTCAACACCCCCACCCCACCCCGATATGTTCAATTCAGAATAGGTCCCCTGCATCTTTTGCGTGCGTGCGTGCGTGCGTGCGTGCGTGCGTGCGTGTGTGTGTGTTTTCCCGGTGGTATTTTCAAGTCAAAGTAAGTATCCCGTACTAGGTGTGTCTTTCCAATGGAATTTCGAGCCGAGTCGGTCCCCTCTAGTGCATGTTAAGAATAAGTTGCGAACAAATATTTAGTTTAGATAGACTTTTATTGATACAAACTCGAACCTAGCTGTATATTCTTTCACAAGCATTACTACTTCTGGTATTATTCTTACAACTACTACTACCGCTGCTGCTGCTACTACTACTACTACTACTACTACTACTACTACTACTACTACTACTACTACTACTACTACTACTACTACTACTGAGGGTACTGCTACTACCCCTACTTCTACTACAGCAACTGCTACTAAAACTGTCAGTGGGGTAGCCAAGTGGTTAAAGCGTTTGCTCGTCACGCTGAAGACCATATCTGGTGTCCCCAGCCGTGACATGGCTGGAATATTGCTAAAAGCGGCGTCAAACCCAACTCACTCACTGCTACTACCACTGCTGCGACTGCTACCAACACTACTTCTAACACGATTACCACTGTAATTGCTACTGTTTCCGTTACCACTGCTACTACTGCCGCTGCTACTTCCGCTACATTTACTGCTGTTGGTACTACTACTACTACTACTACTACTCCTGCTGCGGCTACTACTAATACTGAAGTTCTGCTGCTACTACTGCTGGCAGTACTAATACTGCCGCTGCTACTTCCGCTACATTTACTGCTGCTGCTGCTACTACTACTACTACTTTAACTTTAAACATATTTTATTCGAAAATGAAATGGATTGGGTACAAGTTATCCAACTTAGGAACGCCCTTTCCCAGAAGTTACATATGTCATATTTACAATATAAAAAAACATTGACAACAGGGATTTGTGGAAGGAATGTACAAGGTATTTAAAGAGGATGTGTATAGTATATACAAGAATAAACCTACAAAATTCTTTCAGTGAGCTTAATATATCTATGTTCATCATCATCATCATCATATATACATTTGTATAGCGCCGATATCCAGCTCCGCTCAGCTGCTCAAAGGCGCTTTGTTTTTACCTCGTTCACTGGATGTCAATCTCAACGGCACATCGTATTGTCAATCTCAACTCCCTGGGGATCATACAAACTCTTGCAGCCACTAGGCGCACCGAGTTATTGTGGCATTCCCATCCTTACGAGGTACCCATTCACAGCTGGGTGCACTGGGACACATAGTCACAGTACTTTGTCCAAGTTCACTGCACGTTGCTGTACCCGCAACTGGGTGTTTGCACGTATTCATGTGGCCACCATCTGGTCATATACCTACGGATTCGTGGGTTCTTTTAAGTGCACAGGGTTGTGTACTGTACACTAGGGGTTGTGAAAACACTGAAAAAGTCTGCACACAAAGTTGACTCCAAGGTTTTTTACACCCGGTCACAGGTGGGCTCGATCCCGTCACCTCAGGCTCGCTGGATCACTAGCCTGGCGCTTTAGCCAGTTCGCCCACCGCGCCACCGCTTAATATATCTATGTACATGTTCAAACAATAATTCATTTCCATATAGTGATATTGTAACATGACCAAATAACAATAAATCTAGATTAATGGGTATGCGATGTTTAACGACAGTATTTACATTTGCAAACAAGTCTTTACGCTGCGTTGTGTACAAAGAACATTCTAAAAGATAATGCCATGAGTTTTCACAAAAACAACCACAAGTACAAGAAGCATCTGATCTTAAATTAATTCTGAATAAATCGTAATTTAGCGGACTTGTATTGTACCTTAGTTTTGTGTGAATATTGTTCAGTTTCCTTGTACCAGACCAAAGGAAAGGTGGGGCTGCATTTATTTTATTTTGAATTTTCAAGTTAAACCCTGCTAAAGAATCTATATTTCTTATTTCTATGGGAACTTTGTTCCACATTCGTATAGTCGTATACTACTACTACTACTACTACTACTACTACTACTACTACTACTGCTGCTGCGGCTACTACTAATACTGAAGTTCTGCTGCTACTACTGCTGGCAGTACTAATACTGCCGCTGCTACTTCCGCTACATTTACTGCTGCTACTACTACTACTACTAATACTAATACTCCTGCTGCGGCTACTACAAATACTGAAGTTCTGCTGCTACGTTTGCTACCAGTACTACTAATACTACCGCTGCTACTTCCGGTACATTTACTGCTGCTGCTACTACTGCTGATACTACTACTACTACTGTTACTACTACCACTGCTGCTGCTGCGGCTACTACTACTACTGCAGTTCTGCTGCTACTACTGCTGCTAATGCTCCTGATGTTACTACTACTACTACTACTACTACTACTACTACTACTACTACTACTACTGCTACTACTATTGCTGAAAGTTGCTGTTGATGCGACTACTCCTGCTGCCGCTACTACCTGAGATACGAATGAAATGGGTTGATGGTGACTGCTGAGTAATGATCCTTGACCAGCGCCTTCTGTTTAGCTTATTGAACGATCAAAGACTATGTTAATTCGTTGGTGTCTCTCAAAAAAAACTGGAGGGTCCACTTTTAGTGACCACTCAATCCCATGACCGTCAAGAATGTCTAGAAGTGAAATACGTGGTTAAGAAAGATATATTTTTGAGGCGCTTCTTACAATCCAACGCCGCGCTGTTTTAACATAGTGACAGAAGTCACAGCTATTTACAGACTCTGAGGTTCAGTGGGTAAAGGCGTCTGCCCAGGGAGCGGTCGGTCGATGGTTCGCGCTTTACCTAAAGTCGTTAAAGATGGCACTTGTTGTTACCTGCCTTGGGGCTCGACATGTAGTACTAACGGGATAAAACAAGGAGTGGTAAACCGAATTCAGTACACAGTCGTCAAATCACACGCTCGTTCGTGCTTCAATAATCTTTAACGCGACATTAAACCCACTTTCATCTGACGTGATAGACGTTCGGCCTTACTACCGGCTCGTGTAAGATACTTACAGTCAAAGGTCATGTTAAATCGCAAATAGAAGTCTACAGGACCACGTGACTGTATATCAGTTTTCGGTACAGCACCTTCCCTTATCATGGATTCAAAAGTTTTGAATTTTAAAGATCAAAACCAGATTTGGAAGGGTGCGCTCCAAGCAGCGCTCCAAAGTAGTGATCAAACGTATGCCGAACATGTTATTCGTACCTATGAAACAAAACGTAGCTGTGGTATTAGCTGAACGATAATGATCCACAACCTTTGATAGGCCTCAACAAAACAGTAGAGGGAGATAACTCTTACTATTGGCCTGTGACACTCACTTGTGTACAGCTTTAATTATTGTGACCGAACTTACTAAACTCTGCACAACGTAGCTTTGGTATTAGCTAAACGATAATGATCCACAACCTTTGATAGGCCTCAGCAAAACAGTACAGGGGAGATAACTCTTACTATTTGGATGTGACACTCACCTGTGTACAGCTTTAATTATTGTGACCGAACTTACTAAACTCTGCACAACGTAGCGACGTCATCAACCACCAAGACGGAGACAAATTGACACAAACCTCATCTGACCGTGCACAATTACATATTTTATGAAATAAAAAAGACGGAATGAAATTAAATGTAGTATAGTCCTCATTGAAACAGTTATGTCAAACTAGTGTGAAACAGGTCATATTAACATGTCAACATGCCCAATGTTACCAGTCCGTGCCCTCGTGCTATAGAACAAGGCAATGCTTTATCTTAACACATCTGCTGCAATGAATAGACACAAATTATCTGTTCAGAAATTTCCCACAGCGATAAACCTTATATATACCTCAGAGATACGGTGAGAGCCATTTCCTCTCTGACAATGGGCCCGCAAGGAACTCTCGTACTTGTCCTTCTGTGTGCCTACGGAGCCGTCTCCCTGATCGCCCCGTGAGTACACACGCCCTTGTATATCAAAATGTCGGCGTTAGAGACAATATATCCTGAGAGAAACAAATAATGGACCACAGGAAACTTAACGCGTTCCTTTCATATTTTCCAGTTTTTCCTCTCCTCAACGCTGAAGTAATTAAACCTGGAAAATATTAAAGAAGCAAGCTTGAATTTTCCTGTGATCCTTTATTGTTTCTCTCAGCTATATAACTACTACAGAAATTGATGCAAAATGTATCAAAACATTGTAAGCTACATAAAGTTACATCGCAAATGTTGCTGGAGTGATTTATCAAGGCTCATGTAGATAGGAAACATGAATATTTATGACCTTTTTAAGGGGTTTAAGGTTCCCAATCCTTTTTATTTGATTGTGAGCATTAGTCGGTCACAAATGTTCCAACAAAATCTATTTCAAAACCGACAAAATCAATAATTCAGCCTTTGTCTCGCAAATATATCTGTGCAATGAACCTCTTCCTTGGTACATATTTTTATGCGTCTAAATACTTTAATAAGTGTTTCACTTTGTACAAATTCATGCATTTCAAGTTATTTTTGTGATTTTCAAAATATTTTTCGTTGGTGCCTTATCTTTCAGGCAATGTACTCGTTAGTCTTCTGCGATTCCTTCGAGTTTTCAGAACTTTGTTGCGGGGTTTTAGAGGGATTTGTTGCTTTGATTTGTACAGACAATAACCTCTTTGTCAATAAACAATCACAAAACTACACTCTCAACTCCCAAATATTGTTTGCTGAACTGACCCGTGATGACCCGGGTTAGAATTGGTCTTCAGAAACCCATGCTTGTCGTAAGAAACGACTAACGGGATCGGGTGGTCAGGCTCGCTTACTTGATTGACACATGTCATCGTGTCCCAGTTGCGTAGATCGACGTTCATGTTGTTGATCGCTGGATTGTCTGGTCCAGACTCGATTATTTACATACTGCCGCCATATAGCTACAATAATGCTGAGTGCGGCGTAAAACTAAACTCACTCACTCAATCGTTGCTGAATTAATCCAACTCCAAAATCAGATTTGGGAATGTGGAGTTATCCCTCTTATGCCGATCGTCATTGCACACTGCGCATTTCAGGCAAACAAGTTATATCAGTTCACAAATTTGGCTTGAGTTTTAACGGTATTCTCAAGATGTAGATCTGTTAGATTTCGGGATCGGTAACCTACTACTATATATACTTTACGCGTTAAAGGACTGATTTTATAGAAGGATCAAATTGGAATAAAGATCAGATTTTTAATGTCTTATGTTTAAGGTGCGGCTTATGCGGGGAAGAAATAGACATCACAATCATTGCCCAGAACTTCCTCAAGCCCCCGCTCTTCAACTACACCGTGAACGTGCACGGCGAACCACAGAGTGAGCTGATCTACTTCCTGCAGAGGGCGGCAGACATCGATAAACATCTCAGGTACAATATATACACCTCACGTACAATATAAACACATCGGGTACAATATAAACACCTCCGGTACAATATATACACCTCAGGTACAATATATACACCTCAGGTACAATATAAACACCTCGGGTACAATATATACACCTCGGGTACAATATAAACACCTCGGGTACAATATAAACACCTCGGGTACAATATATACACCTCGGGTACAATATAAACACCTCGAGTACAATATATACACCTCAGGTACAATATAAACACCTCGAGTACAATATATACACCTGACGTACAATATAAACACCTCGAGTACAATATATACACCTCAGGGCAAATATAAACACCTCGAGTACAATATAAACACCTCAGGTACAATATAAACACCTCGAGTACAATATATACACCTCAGGTACAATATATACACCTCGAGTACAATATATACACCTCACGTACAATATAAACACCTCGGGTACAATATAAACACCTCGAGTACAATATATACACCTCAGGTACAATATATACACCTCGAGTACAATATATACACCTCAGGTACAATATAAACACCTCGAGTACAATATATACAACTTGAGCATTAATTATTGTTGTTTACCTTAGATTACAGTTAATCAGCTTAAAAGATTATGTCGTATATTATTCAGGTGTGTTGGAGTGGTTGGACAGAACAAAACAGAGTTCTATTCTCGTAAATCACGTACATATTAAGTATTGTAGTTTACCTTAGATTATAGTTAATCAGCTTAAAAGATTATGTCGTTTATTATACAGGTGTGTTGGAGTGGTTGGACAGAACAAAACAGAGTTCTATTCTCGTAAATCACATACATTCATAGTTATATTCATAGTTACATTTGCTAAAAATTTCATTGGATCGTATTGTTTCTGATGGAAACATTTCCAGGCCAACTTTAATATGTCTATCATGTGGCCAAACCGTTACAATTGTTACCTCCTTGGTCACGCCAGTAACCAGTGATTAGTGGAATAGTTACTTGGAGTTACTTTCTGAGACTTTTCTGCTATAAATGGATAACTGATACTGCGAAAAAGGATTTAAAACCAGCTCACTTATTCATTTTAGCTTGCACGAGTGAGTATGGTTTTACGCCGCTTTTGCAATATCAGCAAAATCACGGCGGGGCATCATACATAGCCTTCGCACATTGTACCCATGTGGGGAATCGAACCCGGGTCTTTGGCGTGTCGAGCGACCCTTTACCCACTAGGCTACCCCGGTACTTCAGTGAAACCCACGAGATGTGTTGCTAACAAACCTATAAACAGGGCGAACGGGGATTCGAACCTATGATCCTGAGGTTTCTATCACACTAAAGGGACGTCACTCTGTACAACGAATCGTGGGGTCTTTGATGACTGTGTAATCTATTATTCCAATAGAATCATTCTATTTTTAATTTCAGATTTACAATCACTTACTTCGGTCCTGTCTTGGGCTACTTTGTCAACTCAATCAACAATCTGGAGGGAGATTATGCTGAAAACACGTCCTGGCGGGTGACGGATGTTGACTTCAACTCCCATAAATTGGGTAATTACAAGTTTTATAAGATAAAGTCCCTAGCACCAGGTACACAATTACAGGGTTGCTTCCCTTGGCACTGGTGGATGTTCGTGATTCGTTACTGACCTTTAAATGTCCTTGACACTGTTTAGAGTGAGTGAGTTTAGTTTTACGCCGCCTTTAGCAATATTCCAGCAATATCACGGCGGGGGACACCAGAAATAGGCTTCACACATTGTACCCATGTGGGGAGTCGAAACCAGGTCTTCGGCGTGACGAGCAGAACTCTTTAACCACTAGACTACCCCCCCCGTCCCTGACACTGTGTAGAGTTGTTTGTTTGTTGTATAACGTCGCATTCAGCAATATTCAAGCGATATGGCGACGGTCTGAAAATAATCAAGTCTGGACCAAACAATTCAGTGAGCATGAGAAATTGAGATCTACGCACAGGGGCGGTGGGGTAGTCCAGTGGTTAAAGCGTTCGCTCGTCACATGACCATATTGTGGAGAAACGTAGATGTTTCTCATCGTATCATCCATGGCACGGTGTAGATAAGTAGATATTTGTCACATTAGTGTCGTGGTACGGTGTAGATAAGTAGATATTTGTCACAGTAGTGTCGTGTTACGGTGTAGATAAGTACATATTTGTCACATCAGTGTCGTGTTACGGCGTAGATAAGTACATATTTGTCAGAGTAGTGTCGTGGTACGGTGTACATAGGTAGATATTTGTCACATCAGTGTCGTGATACGGTGTTGATAAGTATATATTTGTCACACCAGTGTCGTGGTACGGTGTAGATAAGTAGATATTTGTCACATCAGTGTCGTGGTACAGTGAAGATAAGTAGATATTTGTCACAGTAGTGTCGTGTTACGGTGTAGATAAGTAGATATTTGTCACATCAGTGTCGTGATACGGCATGGATAAGTAGATATTTGTCACATCAGTGTCGTGGTACGGTGTAGATAAGTAGATATTTGTCACATCAGTGTCGTGTTACGGTGTAGATACGGAGATATTTGTCACAGTAGTGTCGTGGTACAGTGTAGATAAGTAGACATTTGTTACAGTAATGTCGTGTTACGGTGTAGATACGGAGATATATTTCACAGTAGTGTCGTGTTACGGTGTAGATACGGGGATATATTTCACGGTAGTGTCGTCTTACGTGAAGATATGGAGATATTTCACGCAGTAGTGTCGTGTTACGGTGTAGGTAGGTACATATTTCTCGTAGTAGTGTTATGTCATAGTGTAGATACTAGTTATTTCTCACAGTAGTGTCGTGTTACGGTTTTACATAAGTAGATATGTCTCACAGCAGTGTCGTGTTACGGTTTCCATACGTAGATATTTCTCATAGTAGTGTCGTGTTACGGTTTCCATACGTAGATATTTCTCATAGTAGTGTCGTGTTACGGTTTCCATACGTAGATATTTCTCATAGTAGTGTCGTGTTACGGTTTCCATACGTAGATATTTCTCATAGTAGTTATCTACACATTTGTCTGTTGTCGTTGTGTCACCAGCCGCTGATGGGTCTGTTTCAGGCGTCAGCCACCACATCCCAAACCACCAAGACACCATCATCTTCTCCTTTACCAACGAGACGTACACTTCAGAAGAAGCGAACATATCCGACAAAGCATGAATAAACTGACTCAAAATCTGAAAACATTAATAGGACATTTTTGGAGGTCATACTCGCCAACCAGGTGTACCCCGCTGACATTCATTCATTCATTCATTCATTCATTCATTCATTCATTCATTCATTTTCCTCCGATATATATATATATAGCTTGAGTATTACAGAATGTGGGTTTCAACAGAAACAAACAGTACCCTAGAAACAGATAACTCTTTCAGATACTATTGAAGCTTTGTCTTGGTGCCCGTGATGATCTGGCTGAGTATTTCTTAAGGCAATATGTACAACGGTACTACTATACCATATAGGGGACGCAAACCGAAACATGAGTCTCATTAACCTATTCAGACAATGACCCACTTTTCAGCCGATCCGAATTATCTCGTGCGAAAGTGAAAATAAACATCACAAACAACTATGGTTACACTGAATTCCAATTCCTTGTTTCATAAAAAATGGTATTTACAAATGAATCGTAATTTTAGACTTTAATAACATCGTATTTCTATATTTTATGGCGAGGTGTAGGCAGCATGACCTTAACTAAGACGTCACAGACTGCCCCTGTTTGATGAGGTCGTAAAATGATTCACAATGCACCTGACTCACTGGTTACACCTGTTATGCGTTTTTCGGCGCTTATTTAGTGTAGTTCTGTAAAGCACAATGTGATTGATAAAACATCAATTCCGTACCAGACCGCCAAACTTTTCTAGCGGCAGAGCCTCGTTTTGAGATTTCCACCATTTCCAGGTTTCCGTTTGTCAGAGCTCGCTGTACGACAGAGCAGGCTGCACGACGTGTTTGCAAGTAATAGAAGGAGCGTAGTGTTGCAATATACAAGTGCTTAGATGTATCATATAATACTGATTAATATTTATGTATCCTGCTAAATGAATTGGTCTGAAAATTCTGGACTGGTTATTGTACTAAGTTGCGCAATAAGACGGTTCCCAGTCAACAGGAAACGAGACTGTTGTGTAATCAATGTTTTGATTTGTAAACCCCGCCTCGCCTCGCCTCGCCTCACCTCACCTCACCTCACCTCACCTCACCTCACCTCACATCACATCACCTCACATCACCTCACATCACATCACCTCATCTCACCTCACCTCACCTCACCTCACCTCACATCACATCACCTCACATCACATCACCGCAACTTTTATAATGAGTGAGTTTAGTTTCATACCGCTTTTAGTAATAACAAAACGGAGGACACCAGAAATGGGCTTCACACATTGTACCCATATGAGGAATCGAACCCAGGTCTTCGGCATGACGATCGAACGCTTTTAGCACAAGGATACCTCACCGTCCTACAACTTCTATAAAGATGGAAACGTTTTTGATCGATTTAGTGTCTTCGTATAGTATGTTATATTGACTGCTCTCGTTAAATGTGTATTTGAGACTGAGGGATCAGTTTTGGAGGATTCCATTGTTGGGGAAGCGAATTAACTAGGATTGGATGTCGTTATTGGTTATTGAATTGCATTAGGCCACTCATGCATTTTTGTAAAACAAATATTAATACAATGTGTATCTGCTGTCTATTGATTGATGGCTACACAAATATTGATACTTGGTGTGTCTTTCATCAATTGATCGATTAAAGGAGGAGTTTAGACAGGGCAAGTATAGTGGCTGGCGTCATCTGCCTTCTGGGGATTAAAACATTTGAAATTGAAAAATTACTGTTACAATTTTAGGATATGTTTGTTGGAGCATGTAACGACAAACAACATGTGCAGCGTACTATTCGTGCTTTGTTTGAAATCATATAAATTTGGCAAATCACTGGACTTTAAGTACATTTGTGTTTATACAATTATTCTGCATTCTCCGTTTTACGTGACTGAATGAAACAATTTTGAAGATATTTTCACAGTACACTACATGAAATCTCACTTCAAACGTGCATCGCCAAATCGTAAAAAGAGACTCTTCTTATTCCGGGTAGATAAATATTTCCTGCAATATAGTAGCTTAGTGGTAAAAGCGAAGACCCGGGTCCGATTCCCCACATGAGTACAATGTGTGAAGCCTATTTCTGGTGTCCCCTGCCGTGATATTGCTGGAATATTGCTAAAAGCTTTGTTAAGCAAAACTCACTCACTCCGACAATCTGGGTTTGTCGAAAGAGGCGATAAAAACGATCCGCTGGACCACCTCGGTAACTCGTCTCTCATTCGTGGTTGTCTGATCAAAGCATTGACTTTATTGGGTTTCTTAGTTAGACGAACACATTATTTATCCAGCTGAGCGAACTATACTCATGCCAATAATGGTTGTCCCCTCCCCACCCCAACCCCAACCCTAACACCCTTCACCCCACCCCTCTTCAATTAAAAAATTGAAGGGGTGACAACAATTATTGGCATGAGTATATGATCTACACTGACGTGCATAAGAAAGTATACACATGGTGTTTGGGGATTTAAAAAAAAAAAAAAACCGTAAATATATTTATATCGTTTATTTATTGACAAACATGAAACTCACAAACAGTGTGTGCTGATGGTAGAGATTATTTTGAAGACATCAAGCGACATAATCATCGTCAATCAGATACATTAACTCACATCACAGAGAATAGACGTCCTGCTTTGAAAAATGTATACATGTAATAAAATATCTATGGGTTTTTGAGTTCCAGCAGATGTGATCTAAAACTAAAGCATTAAACCCGAAATAAAGCCAAAACAAAACCGAAAAGTATACAGCAAGGAAGTAAAAGGGAAAAGTTAGTAAGGGAAAATTAAACCCGGGTGGAAAGAGGGAATGTGAGACTTCAAGCAAGGGGAAGACTGACTGACTGACTGAGTTTGGTTTTACGCCGCTTTTAGCAATATTCCAGCAATATCACGGCGGGGGACACCAGAAATGGGCTTCACCCATTGTACCCATGTGGGGATTCGAACTCGGGTCTTCGGCGTGACGAGCCAACGCTTTGACCACTAGACTACCCCACCGCCCCGCAAGGGGAAGAAAATGCCTGAATGAAGAAAAATCCAGAATAAGTAAAGAAACTAACACCAGAGTGAAGTATGGAGATGAAAATTAAAACTCAGTGGAAGTTCGGCAAGGAAAGTATGACCCAATGAAACTGAGATAAGGGAAAGTGGGACAAGACAAAGTAGGACGAGGGAAATCAAGGTGAAGGAATGTAAATCTGTGGGCGCACTTTACAACTTTGTTGTCAGTGAGCAAGTTGATGTTTTACGTCGCATCAGTGTTCTCATTCATGATTATCATCCAAAACTGTGTTCCACTGGAGATATTGCTTGTTAGAGATCAAACGATATCTCCTAGATTTTGTACAATGCCCTGACGTCATCATTTACGTGACTCACAATGCAATGACGTCAAAACCCTAATGACGTCGCATGCTATGACGTCAAAAACCTGATGAATGCTACGAAATAGCTGCACTGCAAGTATAATGGCAGTACCGTGTTCAGAGATGTACATTTTTCATTGAAAACTAATGAAGAGTGTTTTTTTATATGATAAATAGAATATCACCCTCGTATCTCCTCTAATATCAAATAAATCAATGCTCGTCAGCAGACACTTGGGTGGCATTCTCTATTTATGGCACTGGTAGACCAACAATCTTTGGAGGAATTCAGGGTTCCTGGCACTGGTCCGAGAAACGCCCATGTACAAACTACCGAGCCAATGAATTCCTTGTACCTGTAGTTGTGATTCTGTTGTTTCTGCGCTAGTACTAAGTTTGACAGGAATGTCAAATACTTTTTGTCATGATATTGCATCAGTTACACAGAAAGTATATATTTTTAAAAATAAGAGAGAGATGGTTATATTTATTTTCTTAGAATGGTCGAGAAACAAGGTTAGCGCATCTTTGTCAGTGCCATGCAAAAGACACTTTCATATATCACATGGAAAAAAATGTCCCACAACCAATATGATTTTTAACCTCCCATATACCCATTCATTCTTATATCAAAGTTATGTTTGTTTGTACGATTTTTCACATATACTCGTCATTACTCGATAACTTGGAAAATCAATTGATTTCGTTGTTGATAAGCAAATATGGGGCCCTCTACAAATGACAACTCACGGATTATAGTTTTTATGCAAAACTGGCATGAGGGTTATCGACCATCAGCCGATTGTCCAGAAAACAGCAAACTAATGACGTCAAGGACAATCAGCGGTCAGGTTGACCACGAGTGATAACTTCTAGATAGGATATAGCCATTCTCAGAATCAAAAGACTTCATCCTTCCAAATCGTCGTTTGTCCAACAGAACGGTACGAAATCGACCAAGTATAGAGCCAATCTTCCTATCACACTTCCGTTGTTATTCCCACAGCACAAAGTAGTACCATAAGGTTGGAGTCAAGCTCGACGTCACTGGAATTTGAGGTCATGGTGAAGGGTCCATTGGTCGGACGAAAGTCGTGTTTGTTTTGTTTTGCTTGAATATAAATCTTGTGACGATCCCATAAAATCTGAATGGACAACCGTACATCATTGACATCCTAGACAGCATGGTTGTACCACATTATGATGACCATCCTCTGAACGAGAAACCACGTAGTATGCATCTTTTTATGAAGAGTGCGGACCATTAACGACGTACTCAATGAATGTGTGTGTATCGTACATGTTGTGCTATGCAAGTGTACGTTGAATGTGATGTACTGCCTCTCTCTCTCTCTCTCTCTCTCTCTCTCTCTCTCTCTCTCTCTCTCTCTCTCTCTCTCTCTCTCTCTCTCTCTCTCTCTCTCTCTCTCTCTCTCTCTCTCTCTCCTCCCTCCTCCTCCTCCTCCCTCCTCCCTCCCCTCCTCCTCCCTCTCCTCTCTCTCTCTCTCTCTCTCTCTCTCTCTCTCTCTCTCTCTCTCTCTCTCTCTCTCTCTCTCTCACCAGGCTCCACGATTCCACTCGGCACAAGGGTTGACTGAGTTGCTGCAGTGATCCTTGGCACAGAAGTGACTCCCATCCAGGGTTGACGCTGGATCCCCCAGGCTGAAGTGGCCTCCAA